TCTAGCTGATCTGAACTGTCAGGATGGGAAAGACCCTATAGAACACATATGTCTCAGCCTTCCAAGCAACTTGTCCACATACTCATGCAATGCAAGCTTAAAAGGATCCATAACAACCTGACTAAACAATGTCCAAGCCCCATTCCTCTCAGAAGCCAGTGCGGATACAAGCAATTTTATCTGAAAAATGCCTAGTCATTTGGTCACAGCAAGCTTTTTGAGTGTTCCACTATCTGATCTCCTGATCCTATATGAAGATGGCTATTCCCCTTCTCCTGTATACTTAAAAATGCAGTGTACTAATAGTCTGTTACAGGGAAACAGCAGCAACTGTCAAAAGGTCTTAAAGCACCAAACCAGACGTGAGTTTACAGTACCACAAATGATCAGTTATAAATAAGTTATCCTGTAATGGGGCAGGGAACTTAAACTAAAAAGCAAAGTACCTCTCTATATAAACATGAACCCACTTTTAGAAGTCTCAGTGCTTAACAGTGCTGTACTACTTTCAGCCTATAAAAGACTTGTTCACTGTTACTCCAGAAGGCAGGACTAGACACAGTGAGTGGAAATTGCAAGGAAGCAGATTTTGATTAAACATGCAGAGAAACCTCCTAACAGCAAGAGATGTTCAACATTAGAATAGCCTGTCTTGGCAAGCTCTTCTTTGCTCGATGGCTGGATGGTTTTCTCTCTCAGGGATGCTTTTGAGCAGTGGGCTAGACTTAGCAATGAATATATCAACCTATTTTCTTTTCGTGCCAGTGCTGATGTGCTCAAGTCAGGGCTTTCTTTGCAGTTTTTTTAAAGGTCCCTTTCAATTTATGAACTGTATTATAGAATGTGGTATTTGGATTTTGCCTTAACTAGTTTTTATACACACGGCACCTATACACTGTAAGCAAACAGCAAAAATCAACCAAGTCACACAATCTACGTGCATTGGGATTTGCTGCCCATTAAATCCACATCACAGTCTGGCATATTTCCTTCATTGTATTAGGAATGATGTACTGGTTGGGCTGATAGTGGATTACTGTATTTTTTGCACCATAACACTCACTTTTTTCCTCCTAAAAAGTAAGGGGAAACGTCTGTGCATGTTATGGAGGGAATGCCTACGGGTGGCAGGTACCTACGTAAAAACAAGAATCACTAAAAACAAAACTAAAAGGTATAATTAAAAAACAATTAAACATTAATAGAAGTAAAACTATATACACGTATAAAATCTGTTTAAAACATACAAATAATTACAATAAAAACAGCACAGCACCAGCCCTTTCATCAAAAGCAGTCAATTCCCAAAAATTTGTTGGAACAAGAATGTCTTTACCTGCCAGCAGAAGGACAAGGAGAAAGCCAGTGTAGTTTCTCCAGGGAGGAAGTTTCAGAGTAATGAATATATATCTCAAAGACATATAATAGTCCAAAGTATCAGACCTGACATATTTTATTATGAAAAGTAATTGACAGAAAAGTTGCAGTCAGTTCTGCAAATTTTGGGATTATTTATATTAGCCCTGTTACCTTCTACCCTCATTGACAAATCAAGTGTCAGAGTGAGTGAAAAATCATTTACATTGTATGTGTGTCCCTATATACATTTCAGGCAAAGTCACTGGGATAACAGTTAATTATAACTTTGAAACCATTTTATAGAATAGAATTGTGGAGTTGGAAGGGGCCCCAAGGGTCATCTAGTCCAACTCCCTGCAATGCAGGAATGTTCTATCATTGTTCCATCACTAATGAGTTTCAAAAACAAGAGGGACCTGCAGCACAATGTTGCAGTATATTCAGAGAACCCAGAATAGGAGCCTTTAAATGCTTTTCAGGCCTTGGGGCAAAGTGAATTTCAGGAGTTTCTGTCCCTGCTGGCCTTCTACAGCTGTGTTACATAGCACTAGAGAGTTGCCAGTGTCAAACTCAATACTCTCTTAGCTATGAAGTGGAGGAGGGCACTCAGCTGAGGAGGTGGGGTGCTGAATAGGTCAATTCCCTCTCCTCCTCTGCCCTTCATTTGCTTTTTGCTTTCTTTTACAACTGACAGAAATATTGTATTCTAGTGATTAGATCAGCTTCTCTCAACCTTAGGTCCCCTCATGTTGTTGGACTACAACTCCCATCATTTCTAGCTAGCAGGGTCAGTAGTCAGGGATGCTGGGAGTTGTAGTCCAAAAACAACTGCGGACCCAAGGTTGAAAAGGCTGTGTTGGACTAGGACTTGGAAAAGCAGAGCTGAAAACCACACTCAACCACACTCTCTCTAAGCCTAACTGACTTTACAGTGTTGTTGTGAGGATAAATGGACTGGGAGAGAACCATGTATTGCAGCTTGAGCTCCTTGGAGGAAAGGTGAGCTCTAAATATTATAAGTGATTAAGTAAAATGGAAATTCCATATCTTAAACTGTTCTCATAGACTTGACTGATAGATTCACAGTCTACCAATTTATTTATTTAGATCCTCCCCCACCCATCTCTTTGTAGGCTAAACTCTTACCAATGTTCTGTAAATTCCCAGGTTCTTGTTAGCAGTTTTACTTTTCTTTTCATTAATAAATTTATAAAATTCTGTATATCTAGGGCACTCCTCAAGGAAGCAGAAAAAACTAGCTTATTTTGGCGTGGCTCCATTTTGTTTTGAAACTAATAAGCACTCAACCACTTGGTGTACCCTAGAGTTTGGAGCAGAGTTTCTGTTTTTAGAATGTTTCTAGGGAAAATATAGTGAAGGTAGATTTCATCTATAAGAAACAAATATTTTCACTCAACATCATGGCCACAATACCTCATACAGAATGCTTTTCTATGGAGTCAGTTCAAACGTTCCGTTACAAAGTAGTATTCATGATCTACTTTTAAATAGGCCTTTAGTCTCATCAAAATTAGAAACATTCATTTGCCAGTGTTTTTCCCTTGAAATTGACACCAGTTAAACCTGGATTCAGTTAAACCTTTATTTGTTAAACCTAATAATTAAGTTATTAGCATTATCTGTTCCTGACACCAAGAAGGTAACTGTTCCTGACACCAAGAAGGTATGTAGGTTTTCAGTAATGGCAGTATATTCTTCTCCAGCAATGGCCAACAATTGCCACATATTTCACACTCTTAAAAAAACCCCAGTCACCACCACCACCCAACTGTAAAATACAGGAACAGAAAATACAGGCAATAAGTATGAGGAAACAATAGGTTATATATTCTGACTTTTATATCATAAAAGGACTAGATCATGGACATAATGAACGTACAGATATCTGCAGAACTGCCACCCCAAATATACTACCAATATCTGTAACAGATACTTCCTTCAAAAGATGTCATTTGAAATACATTCAGCCATATATAAACATTTATAAAGCCATAATCAACATTTCAGTTGATTCTGAAACAGTTGGTCACATTTCTTGTCTCAAAATACCCCAAGATATCTAAGGTTGAAATCCTGCGCACACTTACTATAGTGTACACCACAATGAATTCAGATGGACTTTCTCTTGAGTAAGCATGTAAGGATTCTGTCACTTCTGCTGCAAATCCATACATGTCTACTCAGAAGTAAGTCCCATAAAGGTAAATGGCAGACAGCAACCACAATTGGGTACTAATTCACAAAATTCCTAAGCAGCAATTCACTGGGACTCTGAGCTTTCAGAGAAAAGCAAATACAATTTAAGGAAATCAAAGCTGAATGAGCATTCTTAGAAACTTTATATGGACAAAAATTTTGTGACACTTTTATGATAGCAGATATTCCAAGGCAACATGTAATTATTTTATTAGTAACCTATCCATGCTATTTAAATCATTACATGAAACTACTAGCTTGCTGTTCTTCTGAATCATGAAGTGCAGAAGAGGCAGAGAAAAAGAGCACAAGCTGTATGTTCTTGTATACAGTTTGATTCCTGGAAAGCACAGGTACACTAACACAGTGTCTCTGAAAGAAAGCACTTATAGAGGATATTTTTTAAAAACCCAAACCAGGTTTGCTCTGTAGTTAGGTGATTATGTTGATTCTACTACATACTGTTAAAAACATCTAACCGCTTAACTCAAAAGTCATGTAATAAGCACATAAAAATTCAATATCCAGACAGTGACTTGAAGTTCCTATCATGACTTCATCTCTTTGGTTCCTTTGCTAAGAAGTTTTATATATAATGGATTATTATAGTCATAAATAAAGACCTCGTCTTGCTTTTTTTTAAAAAAACAAACATAAACAAGACCTTAAAAAAAAAAAGCAGCACTACAATGGAGTAGTTTCGGATTCCACAAGACACTGAAGATTCACCAGCGGGATTTAGTAGAAGAGTCAAGGGAAGGAGGATCCCGAGTAAACTTCCACTGAGTGAAGAAGCCTCAGTTTCTGGGGTTTTGTCAGCGAGAGTGAAGAAGAGGAAAAGTAAACAACCTCACCCAGCAGCCTGGCCCCGTCCCGCCGCCGCCGCCGCCTCGAGAGACGCCCCTCGGGGACAGGAGGGCACATTTTAAGCCGCCACCCCCAGTCACCCTCCTCTCGGGGCAAAGCAACAGGTGCCCTGGACTTCCTTCCCACCCAGGGAGAGAGAGAGCCGGGGAAGGCAGGCACCCTCAGCACAGGAGCCACACAAGGGCACTGGCCTGGGATAAGCTCCCGCCACACAAGCCAGTCGTCCCCTCATGCCGGCCTCGCTCGCTCGCTCGACCCCCCCCCCCCCGCTGGCACTGGCCCCGGAGCGGCCCGTGAGGTAAAAGCCGAGGCCGCCGCACTTCGCAGCGCCCCCCGTATCCCAACCCGTCGCCGCGGCAGGCCCGAACCCTGCCCCGAAGGTGGCGCAAGAGCCGGGAAGGAGAAGAGGCAGAGGCGCCGCTGCCGCCGGGCTCCGGGTCGCCTCTTCTCCCTCCCCGCGCTTCTTTTCCATTGTGCGTGACACGGTCCGGCCCCTGAGGAAAGGAGAGCGGGGGGGGGGAGGGAAGGGAAGCCAAAAAAAAACCACAGCTCCTCACCCAGAAACTCTCCACAAAGTACGCCATGACCATCTCGCTGACTCGGCCCGGCCCCGTCCGACACAGCCACCGGGAATTGGGGGTGGGGAGAAAGAGGGAACCGCCGCGCGCCGCCCTTCCCTTCACGGCACAACAACTCCTCCTCCTCCTCGTCCTGCTCTAACTCTGTCCCCTCTCCTTCGCCCTCTGTCCACAGAGGCGAGCTCAGCCAGCCAGCTCCAAGGGGCGCATGCGCCAGGTTGCCGGCCAAGGCGCGCGCACCGCGGCTCGGCACAACACGGGCGGCGCAGGAACGGCCGACTTCCCTGGCGAAGGGAGTGAGCAGGCGCGGAGAGGCGGATGTGCAGGATTCGAGAGGGGCGGGGCGGAGGAGCGAGGGAGGGAGGGAGGCCCAGCTTATGGGGCAGCGGCCGGCGCCGAGGCTCGGAGGGTGGGCGGGCGAGTCGAGGAATGCTGTGCGTCTGAGGGGGGTGGGCGTGTAGAAACGGGGTATCCCCCCCACCGCACTCAGGGATATCTTAATATAATGCGCCCTGGGGAGCTTTCCGGATAGAAAGGCATCAACAAAGCAGGTTTTAAGAAGGCGACTTTTTCCAACAGGTGTGGAGGGAAGCCGCGGGGAGGGGGGGGATAAAACAACAGAGGAGGCTGAGCCACTGGTCAGAGTTCAAGCAATTCTGGTCCACGCTGAGGCTTTTTTGGTTGGCTTCGGCAGTGGTGTGATGGTAGAGAAGACCCCCAAGCCCACCTGTTGCTGCTCAAGCATCATGTTCTTACACTGGCCCATCATCAGTGGCCCATGGGAAGGACACAAGCAGAGCATGACATGTTCCCTGCCCACTTGCCATTCCCACAAAGGCTGGGGACATAGTAAAAAGGGACCCCTGACCATTAGGTCCAGTCATGGCCGACTCTGGGGTTGCAGCACTCATCTCGCTTTATTGGCCGAGGGAGCCGGTGTACAGCTTCCAGGTCATGTGGCCAGCATGACTAAGCCACTTCTGGCGAACCAGAGCAGCGCACAGAAACGCCGTTTACCTTCCCGCCGGAGCGGTACCTATTTCTCTACTTGCACTTTGATGTGCTTTCGGAGCTCACCCCATCACGGGGATTCGAACTGCTGACCTTCTAATGTGGCAAGTCCTAGGCTCTGTGGTTTAACCTACAGTGCCACCTGCGTCCCTGGCTGGGGACATACCATACATTTAAAGCACATCCACCGCCGGCTGCAAAGAGTTGTGGGAACTGTAGTTTACCCTTTCAGAGCTACTATTCCCAGCACCCTTAAACAAGGGCTCCCAGGATCTGGGTTGTGGGTAGGTGTGCTTTAAATGGAATGTGCACCAGCCAAATCCATATAACAAATAATAACCCTATATCACAGTAAGAATTTTTTTACTAACGGTGGCAATGCCAAGCCAGGTTTTTTCTCAGCCCTGCTCCCACTTTGCATACACTGAAGAGGACTGGAGGACTGAGATGGTTGCTTGCTATTTTTTGTCATTTTAGTGGGTCATAATAAATAATTGCTTTTGATGGCAGTTGAACCCTTAACCAAGTATGTTAATCTAATCAACCACTTACGGGCTGGTTAGCTTAAAGTCTGTTCCATACAAACTAGTAGAAAGCATTGTAAAGACAAAGTTGCCATGCATACAGAAGAACAAGTCTTGCTGAAGGAGAATCAGCATTGGCTTCCGAAAGGGTAAATCCTATTATACTATTTGGGTGTCAACAAGCTCCTTGGGGAGTAAGGGCAGGATATTAATAGAATAAATAAATAAAATAGATGTGGATGATCCAACCAACAATGCTGAGAGTAAGAGAAAACATGATAGAGGTGTATAAGATTATGTATGATGGGGGGGGGAATAGAGAAGGCAAAATTTTTCTACTGCTCTCATACAATTAGAATCAAGGTCCAACCAATGAAGTGGAATGTTTGAAAATTCAGGACAGACAAAAGAAACAACTTATTTGCACAGTACATACAGTGGTACCTCGGGTTACATACGCTTCAGGTTACATACGCTTCAGGTTACAGACTCCGCTAACCCATAAATATTACTTCAGGTTAAGAACTGCTTCAGGATGAGAACAGATATCGTGTTCCGGCGGCGTGGCGGCAGCAGGAGGCCCCATTAGCTAAAGTGGTTAAGAACAGTTTCAGGTTAAGTACGGACCTCCGGGACGAATTAAGTACTTATCCTGAGGTACCACTGTACTCAACTATAAAATTTTGCTCCCATAAGATTTAGTGATAGCCACCAACTTGGATTGCTTTAAATGAGGCTTAGACAAATTTGGGGCCACGGCTATCAACTGTTACCAACCATTGTGGCAATGTTTGACCTCTGCTGTTGGCAATAGTATGCCTCTGAGTTGCTGGGAATCATCACAAGTGTGCGGAGTGTTGTTGCATTCTTGTGCTACTTACGGGCTTCCCATAGGCATCAGGCTGGCCACTGTTAGAATGAAATGTTGAACTATTTTTGTTTGGGCAAGCCTATCCAGATGCATAGGTGTTGACGTGTTTTAATATCTTTTGCTGTTAATTTTTATTCTTTGTATATGTTTGGCTTGGCAAATAGCAATCCTGGAGATGACATCATTGTCCCTGCCATGAAATAAGTGCCAGTGCCTTGTTGGCACCTGCTCCTGGCTCCACTACACCACTGTTTTTGTAGGAACAGACAAAACATGGCAAACCCTGCGATAGCGTGTAGGCTTGACCTAGGTCCAACCTAGTGAAGTCAGCATGTGCATTGTCTCAGTACAGTATATCTTTTTCTAACAGAACTGAGTTGTGATACTTGGATTTTATGTTGGTGCTCTGTGGATAAGGACACCAAATGTGTCTGAGAAGCTCTTGATGTCTGGAAGATGTTATCCAGACTGAACATGAAAAAACAGGAGAAAAATAGCCAGTTATGCTAAGCAGGTGAATTTCTATAATCAACGCTGGAAGTTCATTTTCAATTTTTGCTGCTGGTATAGGCTTCTTGCAGCTTGATGATCAAGGGCTTGCAGTTTAATGATCTTCTTCCCATCTTTAACAGTAATGCTTTTTTAAACCTTGAAGTCCTTATGTACAGCTATTAAACGTACAGGAAGACTGGTCCTGCATTTCCCAATTTTTTTCTCTGTCTTTTATACAGTTCCACACAATTCTTCATATATGTGCCTTTGGCAGAGCACTTTTGGGTGCAGTTTCTAGAGCTCTCTGGTCACAGAACTGTTCTTTCCATTTTTCTCTTGACACTTTTGAATTATGTTATTATTTATTATTTTATTATTTATTAATTTGCATACTGCCTATAAATCTCAGGACAGTTCACAAGATAGAACTTGTGTGCATCTCTCATTTTTCTTCTGTCATGCAACAGGGAATGTCATCTGAAATTTTCTGTAGAATTTGGAATTTTGTGGCATTTCTATTTCACTATGTATTTCATTCAGTTCAATTGATACCCCACCCTTCCTACCTAAGGAGCCCAGGGATTGTAACACTCAAATAATGAGGTTAGTGAGAAAGTACTTGCCCTTTCATAAACTCTGTGAATTTTTCTCTAGAGCTTTATTCTACCCCCCCCCCCTTAAGAGAGAGCTCTTCCCTTTTCCTCATTTAGTTTAAGCCGGCATTGTCCTCATTTTTAGTTTGTGCAAGTTCTTCTCAGTCTTCAAATTCTGGAGTCCTTTAAAATATGCTTTTCCAATGGCAAATTCACCACCACTGCTCATAATCAATGCCCACATTATTAAAACCCACTACGTATGCACACCACAATTGTTCCTTGAGGCTTTGGGTGTCATTATGGGAAAGGGTTTGGTTACTCTGATTTCAGACTGACCTGTGAAACCCCAGGCACCACCTCCATGACTGCTTGAGAACTAACTCAACTTCTGCCTTTCTAATACCTGCTGTCAAAGGTTCAGTTTTAAGCTTGTCCCCAAGAATGACAGAAAACACTGGACTGTTTAACTAACATTATGTTTTACACTGCTTTATAATAATTATTAACTGGTACTCACCATGAAGTTGTTACAGTAAGCGACACATTTTTAACATTTTGAGGATCCTTTAGTATCCCCAGAAAAAAGCACTGTTTTAGCTTCAAGATCACCTCAAATGCGTTCTTTATTGACTTCTTGATATGCCCAATATGTGTACCATTTTTCAGACATGCATTCTGATTTTAATCAGCCTCTGCCAGAAATTCCTTCTTAATCAGAACTGGGGAGCCTGTGGCCTCCCATAGGTTTAATTCCAACTTCTATAAACCCTGGCCAGCATGTGAGTAGTCAGGAATTATGGAAGTCCAGCATTCTTAGGAGGGCCTCAGCCTCCCCATTCAGGTTCTAAATACTAAAACATGGTTGTTAGCTGTACAAACTGCTCATACCATACCCCCCCATTCACCCAATGGCACCTCCAGCACTGCAGTTTCAAACATCCTGTAGCCCCAGTATCTCAGATTTTTGGGTCACAATGGTACTTGTAGTCACTAAAATGGCTTTGTTTATGATGCCTTCTTCGGCACTGGTCCCACTGGTCAGCATGTCACTTTAGTAATGTCCTAGATATCAGCCCTGTGTATGAAGAGGATAAATCTTCAAGACATCTGATGATGTGGACTCCAGTTCACAAAAGCTTTTGTCATAATCTTTAAAGTGCCCCAAGAGAGTTTTCGCTTTCAGCTATTATCTAAAAGCCTAAAACTGGACTCAAGCTTTATAAAAACAAATGAGTTAATGCATGTAATTTCTGCTCCTTCCTACAATGTAGAAAAGTCCAACAAAATCACCAACTGAAATTGGTGAGAAAACATACACCCAAGAGAAAAAATCAATTGGGTGAGAAGTGGGGGGGGGGGCTGGTTGCAAAGGGGGGGATTCTTTGGCCAGTTTTGCTAATTGAGTTTTTAAAAGAAAGAATACTGGTCTTTTTACATTCCTGAGATTAAAATCCAATATAAAAGGCATGCTTATTTTGAAAAGTGATTATATGGTTGAGTGGTTTATTCTAGATTTAATAAATTGTTCTCAGCCAGGCTGAAAATCTTGTTCGTTAAGCTGCATTCCTTACATACCATATTAAAAGTGAAATGCATAATGAACTGTACACCTTGAGAATGTTCTCCTCTTTTGAATCCTTGTTCAAAAGACTTATGTTCAGAGATGTGGAAGCGTTTATGTCTCATGTGCTCTCATTTTTATTGCTCGTTTTACAAAATGAACAAGCTCTCCCCTCACTCTCAAGATTCAGGATTCATTCACCAGCC